GTGTGTGTGTGTGTGTGTGTGTGTGTGTGTTATACAGAAGAAAAGTGAAAAGCAACCTTCATCTCTGGAAGTTTCCAGGGGACATTTCTTGCCCTCTTTTTAACTCAGGGCTTTCTTGAAATGCCTTCCCATCTAGCTCCCTGGTTTGTTTGCCTAGAGTCTTTCCTTCTCTCATTGCTTCTTAAAAACCAGAGAGTGAGTTCCATGAAAGCAGAGCTGAGGCTCTACTACTGAATCCCAAGGACCTAGCTCAGAACTTAGTAAATAGTTGTTGAATGTTTGAGTGAATGTCTAGAACCCAAATCAGAACAAATGTCCCTTTGGTTTGGAGCTCCAGGGACTGTAGGTCATCCCGCTGGCTTTATGGCTTCAGGCTCAGGGGCCCCTTCCAAACTCCCACCCCACTTCTGCCCTGGGATTTTGCTCTCCCGGGAGACATGGGGCTGAAGGAAGCTCTGGAAGGAGATGGCACTCCCAATCCGCAGCTCTTCCTGCCTCTTGAGTGGTCCCTCCATAGAAGGGGTAGGGGAGACACTCAACCAGGTAATCTTCCTCCAATGGGCATTTTCTCCTAACATCTGGTGCTGTCTTCCCATACCCTCGTGTGTTCCTGAGGAAATCGTCTGTGGCAAGACGAAGCAATTGAGGCACGACAGAAAAAGTACCATCTTTTAGGTGAGTCTGGGCAAGTCTCATGCCCTCCCGGGCCATCCAGTCCATACATGAGACGGTGAGGCAATATGGGATGGTGGGAAGGGACACGAGTCCCTCTGGGCACCTCTCAGCCTCTAGGTCAGCCTGCGTGTTGTCTGTGGGCCAGAACGCTTGTGGGACTCTGTTAGGATTCTTCAGTTCAAACGACAAAACCCAGCTCCAACCACTTTAAACACAGGGGCATGGGCTGTAGCTGGAGCAAACAGTGGCATGGCTCACAGAATGTGGTCACCGTCCTGTGAGAGTCAGAGTTGGCTCCATGTCCCTTTCTTTCCCCACCTTTTGTCATTACTTGCCTCCCCTGATTTGGGGTCTTATTCTTAACCTGCCCCGAAGAAGACAGGCTTTCTCTAGGTGGCAAAAAATGTGAAACGTGGCCACCGTGACACTCAGTTTGGCAACCTTGCTAGAACAAGTTTCTCCCACATGGCATCTTTGTCTTCCATTGTTTGAATTTCTTAAAGCTTCTTTTTGAGGGTGTACAATGTATATGTAAATTGTGAAGAAAACCTACAATTCTGAATGCCCATTTACCCTCCCCCAGCTGGAGAAACCAATATTATAAGATTTTGAGGCCTCTGTGGTTCCCTCCACTGCACCCCCTTCCCTGCCCAGCGCAGAAATCCAGAACCCCCAGCTGACCCTTCTTTGAGTTTTATCAAATTTGGATGAGTCCTTCAATAACACTTTGTTTTATTTGCATCTTTTGAACTCTATGTAATGGCGTCTTCTTTCCAATGACTTGCATTTTTCTTAATATTAAATCTGTTCATGCATATAGCAGCAGTTTTTAAATTTTTCACTGGGATGTCGTACTCTGTCTTCTGCCCCAATTTTAAAATCATTTTCAGTGAAATGTGTCCAGTTTAAAAATCTGAAATACTTAAGGATAATATCTCACATAGCCATAGTACATTGGTAAAACCAGGAGATTAATATTGGAAAAATGCGCCCAGTTTTCTTTCTGCTACTACAAATAATGCTGCTGGGACTACTCTTTACTCCTGTGGGGAGTTGTTCTAAGCTACGTATTGAGGAGATAAACTGAGGCACAGAACCAAGTATACGTTTTATCTTAATGCCAAACTGTTTTCCAACTATAGCCCTCAGGTTAAATAGTTCTATGTCTTCACCTGTGTTTTTTATTTTCTACCGTAAAGTCTTGGCTATTCTCGGCTCTTTGCTATTATAAGCACTTTTAAATTAAACTTTAACTTTTGAGATCCTTGTAGATTCACAAGCAGTGTAAGAAATAAGACAGATCTTGCGTATCATTTATCCGGAGTCCCTCAATGGTAACATCCACATCTTGCAAAACTACAACACAACATCACAGCCAGGACCTGGACACTGGTACGGTCAGGGTGCAGAACATTTCCACCTTCACGAGGTCCTTTTATAGCCATAGTCACTTCCTCCTGCCCCACTCCCGTCCTAACCTCTAGCAAACACTGAACCTTTCTTTGTCTCAGTAATTTTGTCATTGTAAGAATGTTATGTAAGTCGGCTTATACAGTAGGTAACCGGTAACCTTTTGGGGCTGGCACTTTCCACGCAGCGTAATTCTGCAGAGGTTCATCCAGGTGGTGTGTATGAATAGTTGGGTCCGTTTTACCGCTGGTAGAATTCCATAGGCGGGATTACCACAGTTTGTTTACCCATTCACCCACTGAAGGGCACCAGGTTATTTCCAGATTGGGGCCATTATAAGGAGAACTGCTATGAACATTCATGTACAGGTTTTTGTGTGAATATAAGATTTTATTTCTCTGGGACAAATGCCAAGGATTGCAGTTGCTGGGTCCTATGGTAGCTGCATGTTTGTTTTTCAAAGGAACAGTCAAACTGGCTTCCAGAGTGACTGTCCCACTTGTCAGTTCTACCAGCAACGTCTGAGGGGTCCAGGCTCTTCACATCCTCACGAGCATTTGGTTTTGTCACTGTTTCTTTTTCAAGTCTTCTGCGAGGTGTGCATAGTGATATCCCACTGTGGTTTTAATCTGCATTTCCCTCATGGCTAATGACTTTGAACATCTTTTCATGTGCTTATTTGCCATCTGTATGTCCTCTTTGGTGAAATATCTGTTCATGTCTCTTGTGTACTTTTTGATTGGATTGTTTGGTTTTTGCTGTTGAGTTTTGAGAGTTCTCTAGATATTCCAGATACTAGTCCTTCGTCAGATACGTGGTCTGCAAATATTTCCTTCCAGTCTGCGGTTTGTCTTTTCTTCCTCTTAACCAGGATTTTTGCAAAGGAACAGTTTTCAATTTTGCGGAAGCCCACCTATTGATTTCTCTCCTCTTGAGGATTGTGCTTTCACTGCCATGTCTAAGAACTCTTCGTTTTAAGCCCTAAGTCCCAAAGATTTTCTATGTCTTTTTCTAACGGCTTAAAAACAGATTTATGTTCTACATTTCAGTTTCTGATCCCATTTGAGTTCAATTTGTATGAGCGGCGGGACTTAGATTGGAGGTTTGTTTTTAGTTTTTGTTTTGTTTTGTTTTGTTTTTTGCCTATGAATGCCCAGTTGCTCCAGCATCATTGTTGCTCTATCAAATTCCTTTTTGCACTTTGTCAAAGATCAGGTAGGTCTTGTTTCTGTGGGGGAGGGGGTGGATGTCCACTCTTCACGTGGTCTTCGCTGGTGCTGCAGGTGGGAGGCCCCTATACTGCCCAGTGGGGACAAAAGGCCCAGCTCCCCTCTTGACCTTCTCCGACACCCCCATCCTAGCCCAAGGGTTGGGGCATGTTGATCTAGCTGT